ATGAGTAGTTTCTAGGATTTCCCAAATTTCTTTGGCCATTTCACACTTATTTACTCTTTCTCCTTCATCATCTGATATTGCAGAAAGCAAGATGTGCATTGCCCAAGAATCTAATTGAGCACTTTTCTTTTGTTCTTTTGACCAATCCTCCTCATCATCCTCTTTCATGTCAATTGGTCCATTTCGGACAATTGCCCATAATTCACAGTCGATTCCTCGGAGGTATAGTCTCATTCTTTTCTTCCATACAGAATAGTTAGAACCAGAAAACCAAGGTGGGTTTGAACTGGTGGGAAATGAGATAGAAGACATGGTGAGGCACAGGATCTCCTTATCGGCAACTTATAGTTCCACGACAAGGGGGCTCTGATACCAATTGTAGTTTACCAGTGTCTTATCTCATTCCACTCAACTGAGTTCGACTGAAATTCAATCAATTCTAGATACAGAAGAATTTGTTCGACTGGAAATGACTAATCACTTAACACTACTATTTCAATCGAATAAGAAAGCAAAAAGGCGAAAGAAGCAGAAGGCAGACAAGCTACGAGCCACGCCCGGATTGCGTAGAGTTCCTGGCAAACGCCCCAACTCTACGAATCCAGACACAACACCTTGGAACCCAACCCAACTATCCCAAGAACTAACCAGTTCTTCCCGATAGCGGAAACCGTTGCCTTCACCTTCAGAATTGAGCCATTTATAGAGATTCTCGGCATGCACCTGCGACCTATCTCTCTCTTCATGAATGTTCAGACCGTTGGACAGAGTCTTCGGGGAGAATAGATTTTTATGCAGACTGACTGGGAAGATGTTTTTCCAGGAAGCTTTGATAGCTAGGGATTTTGGGATGAAGGCGAAGACGCTCAAGTAATCTCGTATGGGTGGACTTCTTTGGAAAGTGGACTCTTTGGACTTGATTGCGAGTGGGCTATGACCTGTTCGACGAGATGCCAGTGGGCCGAGGCCCAACAATCTCCCCCTGCGTTCGAGCTTTCATTCCTGTTGTCAGCAACACAAGATATCAAAGCATCGAGTGTTTGATCTTTCTCACAAAAATGCAGAGAATCAATGAGCGAGAAACTTTTAACTCGATCAGTAAGAATGATGACCAGATTTTATTCATGCGACAGTAGGTATAATTCATTAAGATAGATCACAGAAAAATAGACATCACTTATTGATCCTTATGGTCAAGGTAAACTTTTTATTTATGAAGAGCAACCAGCATTGAAGGACAAGATCAGGTAGCACACTCAGACCATTATGGTCGACTAGCAATAAACAAAAACATAGACTAGATCAGACAACACACTTAGACCATTATGGTCTTATTCAGCAAGAGACATATTCAGCAAGTCATTTATTTGAGGAACCAGGGTTTAGCATGCATCAGGGGCAGGACTGTTTTTCGGCTCCCCCTGAGTCCCAGCCATATATTCCATCATGTTGTCCTCCTGAGTTCCAGTGGCCTCCTCCATTAATCCATCAGCTCCTTCCATCATTTCTCTTTCCAGATCTGCAGCAAACAGTCTGATGTCTTTCTCAGACACTGTTTCTGGTTCAAGTTCAGCTTCTTCCTCTTCAAAGGTGATTATTAGGTTCTTTCGAATGGACGAGTCAGAATTTTCAAGATTCAGGGTTTTAGACCTGTGTTTGATTGGCCTAGCATTTGCTGGGTCCAGGGATCCTCCCCCTTTCGAATGCTGAGGCTCAATACTTAGTTGGAGGAGGACAGTGGTGGCAGGGACATAAACAGAAGTATCAACAGATGAATAGCCATCTAGAGATATGCCAAGATTGGCCAGAAGAAGGGTGATTAACCCTCCATAAGGAAGTCTACCATCAAGATGAGCATCAGCATTTCGAACTATGGAGCCAAACAGAAGCCGAGTGTAGTCAATTTTTCTCCCAGTCAGTGCATTTGAGAGCACCCAGAGATCGATTTTTGTGACAATGTTAAGACCATGGGTACGAGGCAGAAAGAGGTGGGTGATGATATAATGCAGGGTGCGGAGAGTGGGGTTGAGATCAGCAGTGGTGATGACTTCATTGCTGGTGACTCGACGCTGAGTCACGCGGGAGTACTCTATTTCATAATCAAAATCATAGAAGAGGAACTCATCCTCGTGTGCCAGAGGAAGAGGTCCTCCTGTAGGAAGATTGAGCAGAGTGCCAATTGCCTCAGCCGTGAGTGAGATGAAATATCCATTCACAAGAGTGGTGAGCTTTCTGGTGATGATGCCTTGACAGTCAAGGTTGGCATAGAAGTTTTTGACTGGCAGTGGACAGGCAGGAAGAGGGGGATAGTGGAGAAGAAATTCCCATCCAAGGTTTCGAATGAACGGAGCAATGTCTATCCCTAGAGCTTTGAATTCATAGAGATCAAGGGTAAGAGGTTCAGAGAGGCGGCGGGAAGCAAAGAATTCTTTGAACCTGTGATGATTGAATTCAATAATGTTCAGTAAAGGTTTTCCCCACATAGGTGACAATGGCACCAGGGATGTTGGAGGAAGTGAATAGCTCGGTCATGTTTAGGGGAGTAAGCAGAAAGGATTGGAGGGTGGGTTGAATGACAACGATGGGGTGTATATTTATACCAATCATATGGGAAGACCAAGAGCTACAACAATAAAGAAAAAGGACCGCAGAGCACAAGCAGTCAAACAATTTTTGATTAAAACCAAGCATCGGAATTTTGACCATTTTATATATGAATACTCATACAAGCAGCATAGGAAATATAAGTAAGGTAAGTGCACAAATTAAATAGTAAGATAGAGAGTACAGAACCTGGTTAATGCCCACTTTGAATCGAGTGAAGGGATCTGAGACCAAGTTCATCACAGAGTCTAATAAACCTTTCAGAGGAGAGAGCTTTTGTGAAAATATCATCCAATTGAAATTCAGTGGATATAAAATTCAATTCAATTAGACCATCTTGAATTAAGTCCCTAATAAAATGATGTTTGACCTCTATATGTTTAGTTCTGCTATGATGCACTGGATTCTTTGACATGCAAATGGCACTTGTATTGTCACATAGGATAGGTACATTGTCAAAGTTAATACCATAATCATCAAGTTGAGACCTAAGCCATAAGATTTGAGTGCAACAACTGCCAGCAGCAACATATTCTGCTTCAGCAGTTGAAAGAGCTACAGACCCTTGTTTTTTACTTGTCCAAGAAACTAAAGACCCCCCAAAGAATTGACATGTTCCACTAGTACTTTTTCTGTCAGTCACGCTGCAGTCGGGGCGGCGGTGGATGATTTAGTGACAGAGAGTTTCCTGTCGATGAAGGGGGAGACGGCGAATAGGGCGTAGACGAGGAGGAGGAAAATGGGGACGAGGGTAAGAACGTGGCAGCTCATTTTTTGCTCCACCACCGCCATGGCGCCATCGTGGTGGGCGGAGGAGGACTATAGCTCTTCTTCTGGATATCGAGAGAAGAGAGGACGGAAGTTGAATTATAAAGGGATTTTGTGGGGGTATAATAATAATAATAATACCATTTGGTGGTTTGAGTGATTGTGAAGGTTAAGAGTTTAGTTTAGTGTAGTGTAGTGGTACTGATGTTCTTGGATCCTGGGAAATGAGAGTATAGTCTCTTGAACTTGTTGCAGCCATTGTTGAGATGGGAAGCAATCTATATGGAACCGTTTTTGACGGGATTAGGGAGGGATCTCCGTTAATATCGATGAATAAAGTACCCTTAAAATTGAAAATTATGTACTCAATTATGTTCAAAGTTTGCTTAGTAATGGTAGATTCATTTTTCTTACAATATGTTTTATGGGTTATTTGCAAGGATGGTTACTGGGTTTATTAAAACCGTTCATGTTTGGTCACTGCAAATATTTAATTCCATTCATGGTCACTAAGATTAGTTCAATAGTTCAAGTTTGGTCACTCTCCGTTAGTCTCCGTTAGTTTTTGCTGATGTGGCAGTCAACTATTATAGTTGACCGTTAAATGAGTGACGTGGCCAATAAAAAAATAAAAAAATTTAAATATTTACAATTTCCACCTCATTTTACAACTATTAAAAAATAAAAATAAAACTTACCTCCTCCCCAAGGCCGTCACCACCACGGAATGAGAAGTAGCGGATCATCACCACCACCACCGCCCAGCCCAAGTACAGGAAAATTAGCAGCCTGCTGCATCATCCCGCCATAGAACTGTGAGGAGATAACACCTTTTTTTGAGTAAGTTTCTTGTGCTATAGGTAACAGTTCAATATGATTAGACCAAGTTAATATTAAATTTTCCAACTCATAGGATTATCACTATTTTACAGAATGCATAAACAAGAGTATTTGCAATCAAATCCTAATAGAACAGAAGCAGAAATACAAGAGAATTTTTCTTCTTGGTTTAAAAAACATGTAAGAATCAACTTTGTCCTTACTGAGTTGACCTGTCATTTTCTTTCTTTGCATTTTTCATTTTGACATTTTGACTCTTTATTTTTTCCTTACCTTTATAGGTTTGCAAACTATACCTCAATGGGTCAGTTGGGAAAGAGGACCACTTATATATTTTGGGGTTAGGGGCTGATGAGATAGTAACTAGGTATACTGGTATCATTATGAATGGGGTAAGATACCATACTGTTCAGCGTGAAAAGGGCCATCGTACCCAGAATAGTGCTATTGTGGTTGAAGGGGAGCACAATGCAGAAACAATTGATTTTTATGCAATTATAGTCGATATCATTCGGGTTCAGTATAACTATGGGTGTCAAGTGTTCGTGTTTAAATGTGAGTGGTGGGATGTAGGGGATAAAAGAAACGGAATCAGGTCAGACAACCATCTAACAAGTGTCAATATGACCAAGAAATGGTATGCTGATGATCCGTACATTTTAGCCAGTCAAGCAAACCAAATATTTTGCGTTTCTGATTTAAAGAATGGTGGGAATTGGCATGTTGTCCACAAAGTTAGTCCGAGACAAGTATATGATGTTCCAGAAAAGTTAGAGGATATAGATCCTATGTATGAAACTGAACCCTTTCAAGAGAATGAGGATGTCCAGCATACTGAGGTTTTGGTGCATGAATTGAGCAGCAGTGACTCTGGGGATGATGTCCCACCTACAATGGACTCGGATGATTCTACTGATGGTGAAGACACTAGTGAGGAGGAGGAGGATGATACAATGGCAGTTTTTAGTAATGCTTCCAGTGAATCAGAGCACACATCTGATAGTAATGGTGGTAACAGCAACGATGATGACATCATTTGAGATAGTTAGTAAAGGAATTTGGTGTGTAGTTTACTTTTACTGATTGATTGTTTGGTGTTTCATATACGTACTGCAATAGACTATTTTATTTCTGTCTTATGTATAAAGGATTCTTGGCACATCTACATTGTAAATGTGCATATATATATATATATAAGAATATATGTGGTTTCTTTTTATGCGTTTGAGGTAGATATTGTTTTATTGCTCTTAACCATGTTTGTAGATTGCAGAAATGGCTCCTGGTAAAAAAACCAAGAATACCAAAGCAAGAGCTGTGAATAATGCTCCACCTCGACTGACAAGATCCAGGGCTGCTGTATCCGAGGCCACTGTTCAAGACAGGACTTCTGGAAGTAACATTCCAGATCTGCAAGAGACACGAGCAGAAGAAAACCATTCAACAGAAGATGAAGCTGCTTCCAATGCTACAGGTTGTGGTTTTTTCTCTAATTTGATCATTCATAGTTACCAACAAAGTTGTGTAATACGAAATAACTAGTGTTGTTGCATGATGTGTAGAAGGTGCTGACAAGAGGAAGAGTCGCGGAAAGACCAAAGGATATGAGGTGAAGAAACGCTTAGAAGAGGGGACCAAAATTGGCGGCATAATCATTGAAGAAGGAGCAAAAGCACCTGTGGGTACCAACGATAAGCTGTGGAAGATGGAGATAGGTGTTATCGTCCGTGTGCTAGCTCCAATTGGAAAATTCTTCTGGAAGGATCTCACTGAAGAAGATAAGCTGCCACTCTTTGCCAAGCTGGAGGTAACCGTTACCCAAACCATTTTCCATATATATGCAGTGAAAATTACATATTGGTTTAGATTCCATTTGAGTTTAATTCTTTTTCCTTTTCGTTTGTTGTCTGTATGGTAGAGTGAGTTTGATGTAGACTTCACTGCACCACATGTAAGAGATATGGTGGATACTATCATGGCTCGTCGATTCCGACAGTTCAAGTATCGCTGCCATCAACACTACAAGAATGAGACGGACAAGGTGAAAGCTCGGGAGAATCCAATAGAGGAAGTGAACATTGATGACTGGAAGCTACTCTGCGACCATTTTGATAGTGTGCAATTCAAGGTAATCTTAAAACAACCTACCTAAATACATTGAATATTAGGATTCAATTTCCTAAATACAGAATGATATCCTCATAATGCAGAAGCGAAGTGACATAAATGTAGACAATAGAAGCCAAGTATTGTATCCTCATACAACAGGTGCTAAGTCACTTAGTCAAAGGATTTTTGAACTGGTAAGCGAAAACATATGTTTGTGGTTGTTTCACTGGATATACCATTTTGTAAATCTTATGAGATTATTTTCTAACATTAGAATGAGAAGGAGAAGACGGCAAATAGTGAGCAAACTAATGATGGAGTGGAGCCGAGTAACGGTGAGCAGCAGAATGACTCAGCAGAGCAGCAGAACCCTACTGTGCCGCCTCCAGAGGTGGTTGTGTATGCTGACACTCATAAGAGGCGTGATGGAAGCTGGGTTCATCCAGATGCTGAGAAAAATTATGTATGCCTCTATGTGTGTGAATACTTTCATGTGTGAATGCACGTGTATGGATGTTGATTACTGAGTGAGTTGTTGTTTCTTAATTTCCTTGTAGGCCAATATGACTGCCTTGAGCAGTCAGTCAGGTAATAATGTTCCAGGTTCTGAGATTGTTGACAAGGTGCTGAAGAAAAAGCCAAGGGTATCTAGAAAGGAAGCACGACGATCGGCTAGAGAGATTCAGCTGGAGAGAGAATTGCAAGCCGAAAGGCTAGAAAGGCAGGCAGAAAGGGAGACTTTTGAAAGGCGGACCAAGCAATTTGAGGAGCAAATTGAAATTCAGCAGTCGAAACTACAAACTCAAGACACAAAGTTTGAGGAGATGGAAGCATCGCAACACCGTCTTGAAGCTACTGTTCGTGACTTGGCTGCTAGAATGGCTGGAAATAACAACTGAAGGAGGTAATCTACTAACTCCTTCGAGAGATAACAACAGAACTAATGCAACAGTCTGAATGTGGGGTGATGAACTAATGCATGTTATCTACAGGTGAGATGATGCATGTGAGGAGGGCATGTGAGGAGGGCTGGACAGAGGTTGCTGATTTAGGGATTCAAGTAGTTGGCTTGAGTTGCTGCATGATTTTGGGGTACTAAACTATTAGGAACGTTAATATTTATCAGGTGTAAGTGTCGGATAATGTTTATAAGTGTAAGTGTCGGATAATGGTGTTTAGTAATGCTTGTTATGTAGCAGCAGATTTTTGGCAAACAACAGATATTAGCCATTTTGTGGTTTGAATGAAGAAGCTTGTTTTTATGTCCAACAGCTCCTTGGGTACCTCTCAAATGATGAATCTATTTTTGTCACTATTTGTTCTGTCAATCCTAATTTAGACTAACAAAATATGAAAAACCATTTGTCACATCAAACTACCCAAATTGTGACAGATGTGATTTGTCATAATAAATTAACAAAATATCAAATACGATAAACATTGTGACAAAAAATATCGTCATAACAAACATTTTTGTCACAATAAGTACCACCAAATAATGTTTTACGTGACAAAATCGTGTTTTGTTGTGACAAAAATATCGTCATAACAAACATTTTCGTCACAATAAGTACCAGAGAATAATGTTTTACGTGACAAAATCGTGTTTTGTTGTGACAAAATATCAAGTTATTGCTACAAGATATTTCGTCACATTAAATACTTATTATGACACCTTATGTTTGTCACAATACGGGATAAGTTGTTGTGACAAGATGAAAAATATTTTGTCACAATATACCTATTACGACGGGGTTCTTGCAACGAAACTTTGTGACAAACATATTTGTCACAATAAACCTAATGTGACGAAGAAGGTACTTAATGTGACGAAATCCATCCGTCATAATATACCAAAAATGTTGTAGTGTAGTGACCATGAATGGAATTAAATATTTGCAGTGACCAAACATGAACGGTTTTAGTAAACTCAGTGACGATCCTTGCAGTTAACCCTATGTTTTATGGTCTATCTATTATTATTTCGAGTTTGTCAGATTGTTTCGTATGTTCCATTTCTTATTAAACGATGAACCCTTTTTCCTTTCGTAATAGAATTAGACATTTGAGAGGAATCCAATAAACTCCTACTATCTATCTATCCTCTGTTTCCCAATCTTGCAATGCATGCAACTCATAAGTTATGGAAAGTCCAATAAACAGACACTTGCAACTAATTAACTTAACCAATTACAGTGGATTATGATAGTCAGTAATCAATAACACAAACAAGAAACAAACCAACAAATATATAAATGTGGTACCTTGAGTCTGCAAATTTTTTGGGCTAGGGCACTGGGCCCAGAGAGACTATATACAATCAGTTCACAGCCCAAACATGTTTTCATTAACTCACTGCAAAGAAGGTCCAAATACAGTTTTAAGTTACTTGCCTCTATGGAGTTACGTTTTAATCGACTAATGGTTTTGAGCCCGACCGGCGACCAGTCGGAATCCATTTTTTATTTATTAGAATTATATTGGAAGTTGTAATTGCTAAATAGATGTATTGTTGTGAATGTGTGTATAATAGTGTATATATATATATGTATTGATGAATTTGATGCATTGTAAAATACAGCGTTTGATATGTGTGATTGTGTATGTGATATCAACTAAAAGTTGAGATAAAAAAATCTCAACTCAACTATCTCAACAATCTCATCTAAAATTTGAGATATAACAATCACTCATTTGAGTGATAGTTTCGATTAAATCAAATAAACAATCTATGTATTCTATCAACTAAAAAAATCAGAAATACAATGCATTCTAAACAATATGAGTATAATAACCATATCAAAGAAACAATCACAACTTCCAAACAACCCCTTACATAATATGGTTTTCTCTAAGTTGTAACACACATGATAGATTTACATATTATGGCGATACAAAATTGAACGATATTGATATAGTTTAGCAAACTAATAGAATAGGAACCTGTCTCATGAGTTATGGTCGTACATTAGTGTTGGGGGTGTTACTAAATACTCCGTTCACAGACTAAGTAGTAGGGCGCACAATCGGCGATGCGCGATACGCGCTACAGGTATATAAGGGATTGAAGCCCTCCAAAGCAAGGGACTTCCTCTCTCCCCTCACTTTCCACTTTCTACTATCTCTCTAAACTTTATCTCTCTATCTATTCTCTCAACTCTCTCCGCAAACATACACTGACTTGATCGTCGGAGCTTAATCCGGGGGGCAACCCCGACTTTCCACAGGTTCTTTCCCTCCCGACGAGATCAGACGAACGGATGACGAGTCGACCCCACACCAACAAATATCATTGTTCATACCGAAGCAAGATGGTACAAACAATTGGCGCCCTCCGTGGGGCCTGATTCCACATTCATTTCTTTGATTGCCGAAGGAGGGAGGGATCTCTGTAATCGGAAGCTCACAAAAGATTTATCGGAAGGAAGGAAAGGACACATCAAGCCGAATCTGAAATAAAAAATAAAAGACCTGGAAGTTTGAAGAAAGTAGAGAGTTGGCGACTTGCAGAGGAAAGTCAAAGTTCCTTTCACCAATCCGAGAGGCGACAACAACCACCGAGAAGAGAAGAAGCAACTCCGGTCGGAGAAATCAGAAAGAAGAAAAAGAGAACGAAAAGATGCGAGTGGGAGAAGGCAAAGCCATCAACCGAAGGGGGATTTCCCCACCAATCAGAGGTTGCAGCGGCCTCTTCGGAACCAGGAAGCTTTCATCTCCCATTTTACGATGAGGAATAAGAAACTGGAAGGAAAAAATCTACAGATCCCGACCGCCGGAAAAAGAGTCACCGTCGGAGGTCAGACAAAAAGCAAGGAAGAAACGGTGGTCATCCTGTCACTATCACCACCATTTCAACCTACTCCACTGCTCACCTACAGTAAATGACATATAGTCAAGAAAAAGTGACAGCTTTCTCTGAGCTGTCTTTTCCCTCTTTCCAGTAAACGCTGACCAACGGGGCTACCGAGGCAAAAAGGCAGAGTTATCATGAAGACAGTGGGGTTAAAATTAGAAGCGCCAGGCGCAACTAGAATTTTTTTTTACCAATGGCGGGAGTTGAACCCGCTTTCAAGATCAACAAGTCAAGCTCCCCAACCAATAAGCTAAACATGGATACACGTCCAGTAAAGAGCGACACAGTCTTATACTTACTTCCCTCAGCCTATCCAACTGGCGGGCCAAGATGAACCGACCACTCGCGGGCCCGCTTCATAAAGGAGCGGAAGCGCTCAATCCCCGTCATAACGCGGCTAGGCCCGCGTCCATATCAGCCCACCAGCGTGCGGCCCGCTCTGCAGACCATTAAGTCAACAAAAAGAGCTACTGGTATATTTGAACCCGCGCCGCGTGTCCACCACTCCAGCATTCATGCCAGTACGCTACAAGGAATGCTTGTCCATCAAATGCGCGGTACTTGATCTTATTATCTCTCTTGCGCCCAAGCTTGCGGGCCGACTCGCTTATGGCCCGTCGCCTCAACACTCGCGGCCCGCACTGCAGGCGGCCCAACTCGCGGCCCGCGTTCAACAGACACAGAACTCTTCATAAAATGTCGTTGCCGCCAATACTCGAACCCGCTCCACTCTTATGCTAGACAAGCGAACCAACCAGCAGGCTGCAAGGATAGCTTGTACACTTTTGTAGCGGCACCATATTTAATAACTCATTCGCAAGCAGCTCCGCGCGTATCACCGCCTGCCGCGGACCAGACTCTATCCGCCCCAACCGGCCCAAATTTGGCCTCTCAACAAGGCAAGCTCGAGTCGCGCAAATAGCCCACGCCCAACTCGCGGACCGGCTCCAACTCCTTTCCCCGGGCCAGCTTCGTTCCGTCTCTCGCCAAGCCCAACGTCGCGGACACCCCAACTAGTGGACCATCATCGCTCCACTCGCGTGAAAAATATTATCATCGACGCCAGTCTTCGAACCCGCGCCACTCCTCCGCCAGAAAAGCGACATTACCAGAAGGCTACATGCGAACCTTATGTCTCAATGGCGCAGCGTCTGCAGGCGGCCCAACTCGCGGCCCGCGTTCAACAGACACAGAACTCTTCAAAAAATGTCGTTGCCGCCAATACTCGAACCCGCTCCACTCTTATGCTAGACAAGCGAACCAACCAGCAGGCTGCAAGGATAGCTTGTACACTTTTGTAGCGGCACCATATTTAATAACTCATTTGCAAGCAGCTCCTCGCGTATCACCGCCCGCCGCGGACCAGACTCTATCCGCCCCACCCGGCCCGAATTTGGCCTCTCAACAAGGCAAGCTCGACTCGCGCAAATAGCCCACGCCCAACTCGCGGACCGGCTCCAACTCCTTTCCCCGGGCCAGCTTCGTTCCGTCTCTCGCCAAGCCCAACGTCGCGGAAACCCCAACTAGTGGACCATCATCGCTCCACTCGCGTGAAAAATATTATCATCGACGCCAGTCTTCGAACCCGCGCCACTCCTCAGCCAGAAAAGCGACATTACCAGAAGGCTACATGCGAACCTTATGTATCAATGGCGCAGCGTTTGATTTTTAACTACTCGCGGCCCGCGTTCAACAGACATGGAACTCCTCAAAAAATGAAGTCGCCGCCAGTCCTCGAACCCGCGCCACTCTTCCGCCAGACAAGCAAGATTACAAGCAGGCTACAAGGGAGCCTTATGTTTCAATGGCGCGCCGTCTGATTTTTAACTACTCGCGGCCCACGTTCAACAGACATGGAACTCCTCAAAAAAATGAAGTCGCCACCAGGCCTCGAACCCGCGCCACTCTTCCGCCAGACAAGCGAGATTACCAGCAGGCTACAAGCGAGCTTTGTTTTCAATGGCACGGCGTCTAATTTTTAGCTATTCGCGCCCACTCAATTCGACAGAACAAAAAATAGCAATAGTCATGAACTATTCGCGCCCACTCAGTTCGACAGAACAAAAAATAGCAATAGTCATGAACTATTCGCGCCCACTCAGTTCGACAGAACAAAAAATAGCAATAGTCATGAACTATTCGCGCCACTCAGTTCGACAGAACAAAAAATAGCAATAGTCATGAACTATTCGCGCCCACTCAGTTCGACAGAACACAAAGTAGCAATAATCATGAATTATTCGCGCCCACTCAGTTCGACAGAACAGAAAATCGCAATAGGCATGAA